TAGAGACGGGGTTTCACCATGTTGATGTCTCGATCTCTTGACCTCGTGATCCACCTGCCTCGGCCTCCCAAAGTGCTGGGATTACAGGCTTGAGCCACCACGCCAGGCCTATCAATGGATTTTTAAGAGTATACTTTAAGAAGGATTACGTGTAAACATTTTAATAATGTTAATCACACCACAGCTATTAGAATGTCAGTCTTGTAAGAAATGGCATCAGCTATTTGGTATGTCTTTCTCTGATTAAACTGATTCCACCACACTATCTACTTCTATCAGTGTAGTCTAGAGAGAGCACTTAAAGAGAAAAAGTTAGAAATGTCTGCACAAATAAGCTCTTTTAATGTATAGAAGTTTCAATCACATGACTTGGGCTTGCTTACCAAATACCTTTGGTACTTTAAAAAATGTATGTCCATGATATAATACTTTTTAATCCAGAAGTTTCACCCATATTTAATTTAAAAATGAAAATTATAAGCAAATCCAATTACACAAGCATGTCAGAAAATAATACACTCTAATATATTTTCAAATGAAGACTTGTCTTTAAAAACTAACTCAAAGGTAACATCTTTCCCAGAGTTAAGTAAAAACATCTATTACCCAGAATAAGCAGATTTCATTTAACTATTAATAGCAATGAAAGTTACACCTAAACGTGTAAACATATGTAAACATTTAAAAATAGTAAAGTCTTTGAAATGTAAGGGCAAAATGTCAACTCTGTATTATAATTTAAGACGAATAGCGAAGACAGCTACTAGAATATAAAAAAAATGGTCATCAGTTAAAGTTTAATTACTGTTCAATTCTTTACTCTTTAACAAGAAAATGAGTTTTGATAAATCCAGACCACAGAGACAGATATTTTTCTTGCAGAACATTTCTTGCTCATGGTGCAATGCAGCATTCTGTCTATCTAGTATAGTTGTACCACATTTGTGGTAACACAGGTGATTACATTCAAATGGCATTTAACGTAAATTGCACCAAACTGCCCTATAATTTCATTTTGGACTGAATTAATTAACTTCTCAGTAGGTGACTGAGGTGCTGAACATAAGCCTAAAGAAATACTTGACTGCTTAACCTACCTTATGTGAGTTGTCTCTAATTCAAGACAGCTTCCATTTTTAATAAATAGTACCAGGTAAAATGCATTTAGTAGGATCCCAAAGGGTAAAGATAAGGCATTTATAATAAATGGATTTAGTTTTCCACATATATTCACATCCATTTAAAAGAAGTCAGGGGGCACTGCAGACAGTTAAGGAGGATTTAACAAAACTCAGCAAGACTTGGCATGACTGATATTTTTGAAAGACTATTTACCTTAGGAGGTGCGTATGTAGAATTTTAAAAATGCCTTCTTTGCCCTTGCAAGGTATTAAAATAAAAAAGTTACCACTTAGTTGCAATTAAAAATAATGCTATCTTAATGCAGAATATGTAAATTATATCCCAGAGCTTGAAATGTAAATGTAATTATCTAAGACATTATCTTTAGATCATCAGAATTATCATATCATAAAATATCTATTCTATTTCCCCAATTATAATGTTATTATCAAGAGCTGACAGCTAACTCTTTGTTTCCAGTTTATGGTCTTCATATATCAAGAAACAAAAGGACAAACAAGGTATGTGAAAGCTCATAAAAAGCTGAAGCAGCTTTCATGTTACACGGCATATTTCTTTGTCATAAACTTCTGGTTTAAGAAATGAGAAAACAAACACTTCTTTTGAAACACTTTTTGACACATTGCTTAACTATTTTTAGATTTTTTTTTTAAAACTGTAAAGGAAAGGAGAAAGAAGAGAATGAGGGAAAGAGGGCTTTCCCTTTGGGGATGAGACTGAGAGAGAAGACGGGGCCAGAGGGAAAAAAAAAAAAAAAAAAAAAAAAAAAATAAAAAAAAAAAAAAAAAAAAAAAAAAAAAAAAAAAAAAAAAAAAAAAAAAAAGAAAGAAAAAAACCAACTTTATATTATAATTACACTCTTTTGGGAAGGGGTAAATCAGCATTTCAGGAGCCGAAGACATCAGGCCCATTTCGAAGACTTATAACATACAGTAACCTGGGCCCCGAGAAAGAGACTGAATAATTTGGTGGGGAGAGGGTGGTGGTCCTTGCTCATGCTTTGAAATGGTTCTAGGTAAAAAGGGCTTCAAAGTTCTGCTCTGAGGACACAACTGCTAAGTAATTTCTATATGATTACTTTCTTTTTCTTGTACAATTTAAATCCTTCCTGCTATTATGTACATGAGGAAAAATCACAAGAATATAATCTAGAAGTTTTAATACTGTTGTAATAAAGGAAGGCATCAACTAGGAAAAAAAAGGAATGCTTAGATGCCAGTTTCAGAAACAATTTTGGCTGCAGCATTTTCTAGCTCTATAATTCTGTGGCAATGACAGTCACAAATGCTGTCAAAAACAGCAATGAGGCTTAAAAAAGTAACTAAAAAATTCAAACAATATCCTTTAGATTTTTAATGTCACTTACTGAAACAGCAATCATACAGAAATTTATGAGAGCCTTCTAGTTAGATAAAGTAAACCCACTTTTTAAGGTTTCCATACATGTGATGATCTCTGTATGCCATCAAGCAGGCAGTATCCTCTCACCAAACACTGTGTCTGTCCTGGTGTTACCGGTCACAAGAAACCTTTTGTTACCATTACTCCCTCAAGATTCAATTCTTACTAGGAGTCCTGGGCAAACACAGAAGTGACCTGGCAGTTACATCATTCTTTGTAAATGAAAAAGACCCTGCTATCTGAAAATAATGAAAGGCTCTGTTTAAATTAATGTGGGTTTTTTTTTTTTTTGTCAAGTGTTCGTTTTATTTTGTAATAATGTAGTTTTGATCCAAACAGAGTTCTTGCTAGCTTTAAAAAGATCTCAAGAGATTATACACAGGGCAGCAACTTAATTCTTAGCTTTTATCTCTTGCAATGATATTTAGGGTTCAGTGTGATTTGAGATTTTTAGTGCTGCTGCTGACACCTTATGGAAACTGTTTTATTTGGAAATTCTAATTCGATTTTTAAAATTGTTCTGCTCTTGTTTACAAAAAGCATTATTATAAAAAATGGATTTTTTTTTTTGTTCCTTATAAGGTATTTTTCTGCTATTTATTCCTCACTTGATTTTATAATCCTGTTTGGGTCACTATGATTAGCTGCTATGGAAATTACCTCCTATGGAAATGACTCCAATGTCACTGTTGTAAGAATATGACTTCTAATGAATGATACCGCTATCAGATATCAACCTTACTAGGACAAGGAAATCTAATTAAAATTGTAAAAAAGAATTAACTCTGAAAATTATTTTCCATGGTAGCCAACTTTTCCAGTATTTTTGAATCTCCCATCTTCTTTTTAAATAAGAGTTAAATGAATTTCAAGGTGTTAATCATCTACTCACTTTCCTAAATTCCAAAGCCACAATGGAAATTAGCAACACACACAGAAAATTGAACGTAAAGAGAATTTCATCTACCATTTCTCTAAACTAATAAGTGTTATGCTTCATTTATGAAAGTTAATGTCAACAGGATTTCAGGGCTCATCAAGGAAACAAGTCTGAATAGCACATTACAAATTCCCTTTAAAGATGAAGAATTTAATATTCCAAAATTTGTCCCAAGAATTTAAAAGGTCAGCCTATAAACTAGTGAGTTAAACAATAGATGAGAGCCAGTGAACCATTAGATGAGAATTCCAGAATGCTAAGAAGAGAATTTTCTTGGGTGGATTCTATAATTTGTGGTTTGAACGAAACCTTTGAAACATTCCATTAGTATTAAAATTCTCACAATGAGAATATGGCTCATATTTAACACATTTTAAATTACTAGACAGTCTCTCCCCAAAAGAAATTTTAATGCTTTATTCTGCCTAGGGCTTATTCACTGCCTGGTACTAATTTAGGAATAAATTAACCCTTCCAACAATTAGGATATTGTCTAGAAACTGCCTCTTGCACACTGCTGGAGAAATCACTTACATTCTGAAAATCAGGAGTAAAAAGAAAAAAATCCATATCTTTATTATGTTTTACTATACCTAATAGCTTATTAATTATTGGTATAAATCACTATCATATTTACCTATATAATTACACATTACTCAATTTATAATGCCTCTGAATTAAGCATTACAGTTATAGATTTTGTTAAATGTTTTATCATTAATTGTTTTCTATACTTGTGCCTGCAGCCATGATCTAGGGTCCAGAATGTCTTTGATGGATTTCTGCCTTGGAGCTGGCACTGGCTTGCCTTCAGAATTGGTTTTAGTGTCTGCATGCTCACCATCACTTAATCTTTTTTTCCTGGCAGGGAGAAGTTTTCGAGGAGCAGCCATTGGTTTCTGTAAGTGATGCATTAGGATTGATAGTTTGGTATCCAAAGGTGAAGTCTGAGACACACTTGTTTTTCCCCAGTTGTCCTTAACCAATTGATCTGTGTTACTCTGTGATTTTAAGCTGAATGGAAGTTTATCAGAAGGGGGAAGGGGAGCTCGTCTCTTTTTCCCTTTTTCATCATGTAATGGCTCACCTGCAGGAGACAGTACCTTTTTCTGGATGACCATTTGATGGTTACCATCAAAGAGTGTCGCCCAAGGAGGTGGTAAGGATTCTTCATGCTGACCAGTAAGGAACTGCCCATTTGTCTCTTCAATTTTTTTTTGTATTATATCCGTTAAACTTTCAAGTTTCATAGGTGAATCAATGCCTATAATTTTAAGAATACATGAAAAAATTCACAAGCAGTATGCACTTGATCAGAATAAGTTATTATTTTCCAAACTAGTATGCTATATATAATGGTCAAAGACTATGATAAGGAAAATGTTTGCTTGTAAAAATAACCATGCTATCAGAACTAAAAAGATCATGCAATACACTATATATACAACATTTTATATGTAAACACACATATAATACACTATATAAAACATATATGTAACATACATATAATGTACATAATACATACACATGTATAAATATATTCCTAAAGAAATTAGCAAAATCCAGCTTTCAAAGAAGTGGAATTATATGAGTTTTTTTAAAAATTCTATAGATGAAGTATTTATGAGACAACATTTCTTGGATTTAAAACCTTATTCTGACTTGTAGGTAAGAGATTTCCTTTTTACAAAAGCTAGATGTATATTGGGATGACTGAAATTGGATGAGTATTCATTCCTGTAGACTAGCAAAGTCTCTGTTAAAAGCAAAAATGCTTAAAACCAAAAACCCAGGAAGAGGGTAAAGCCCTCATACCACTTTGGTAATAAAGGTGCCGGTTGAAATTTCCCTTGGGAAAAATAAAACAACAGAGATAAATATCAAATGAATTACTGGTATTTTAAAATGTGTGAACCCAAATGTACCATTTTTAACATAACATTTTAAAATGAATGTAAGTACAGATACATTAGTGGCAAGTTGGACAGAATATAGACTGACTTGCATTTGTTCACAACATTATTCACTGAGACAACTGCACAAAAATAAACACCTTTCAAGAAACTGAATATTAGTGAGTCTAGAAATTTAAAATTTTTCAAAGTATTAAACATAACCAATTTTTTTTGGCCAGAGATGAAAGCTTCCATTCATTAATATGCATCTAGCAATACTACTTGAAATTTAATAAAATACAGAAAAAAATTACTGAACATGATTACTTTTTAGAATCTGCAAGTGTTTATTTTCAGAATTTTCATCAGCTACTCAGCTAATATTTATTTTCAGTGCACCTTTACTCATTTTAAGCCCTTATATTTTTTGATTGATCTTAAGCATTCAGACTATTAAAGTATATTCATTATTTTGTATGAATTCATCTATTAAACATGAGTTCCTTAGTCTATAATCAGTCTTTTTTCATTTATTTTGATTGTGCCCTGAAAATTTTAGCATTTTAATGTCAGTAGAATAAGCTACTTGGTATGGACAATGTTGTTTTTTTTATCCTGCAGCCTAGAAAAGCCAAGCCCCACTTACTCATATCATGGTAGACTGAGGTTGCCTCTTTTGTCAAGAACAAAGGTGGTTTCCGTGGTGACATAATCTCAATTTTCATAAGTTCTTCACAACAATGCTTCCACTGGCCTAAGACAGACAGAAAAAAGGTAGACTAGTTTAAAACAGAAATGTAAAGATATATATTTCGTTTTTAATAGATAGCAGTACATTTTTGCTTTGAATAAAAATCAGTGAATTTATAAATAAAGCAGTGCCTTAAGGGAGGCTTGCACAAAAACCTAATACTACCCATAATTTCAAAGTCCAGTTCTGAACATAAAAGTAATCTATTTAAAAAATAAAGTTTGGCCGGGTGCAGTGGCTCACACCTGTGATCCGAGCACTTTGGAAGGTCTAGGTGGGCAGATCACCTGAGGTTAGGAGTTCAAGACCAGCCTGGACAACATGGCGAAACCCTTCTCTACTAAAAATACAAAAATTAGCCAGGTGTGGTGGCATGTGCCTTTAGTCCCAGCTACTTAGGAGACTGAGGCAGGAGGATCGCTTGAACCCAGGAGGCGGAGGTTGCAGTCAGCCAAGATTGCACCACTGCACTCTAGGCTATTAAATACTATCCTATTTCACTAAATGGTTAATAACTACTTCAAAATTTCTATTTATTGCAAAAGCTTGTGCAGGTTCTCTTCTTTTAAATATTAAACATTAGGTATTCAAGATGTTGAAAGGTTAAACAATCGACTGAAATATAGTTACCTAGAAGGAAACAGAAAAAAACATAAAGGAGGGAGGTTCTCAAAAATGGTTTCAACTATGAAAATTTTGATTAAGAAAGAAAAATTATTTACTTAGCAATTGTCCCTTTAAGATGATTATCATGTTTTTTCAAAATCATTTAACTCTATAAAAACACTGTATTTTCATTTAGGTAAAAGGTATATAAAAACCTATTACTATAAAATCATATCACTCAATAAAATTCTGAGTCAAATTTGTTTTAGGAAGGACACATTAAATAAAGGCATTTGGCATAAGAAAAAAATACTCTCGAATAAAATGTTTCCACTATTAAGTTAAAATTTAAGTGTGGACATTATTAATTTTTCTTTTAGTTATGCTTCACACTAATTTAATCTTAAATTTTGTAGATTTCTCCTGAGTGATGTCCAAAAATTTAATCTTTTCATACTTATTGTGTACCTGCATGCTGGATAGCAACTATGCTAGTTCCTATGTGACTATAGATTAATTTTGTAAGAGTAAGTTACTGACATTCACCTTCTTATAGCCTATCTTATACTGATAGAAAAGTAAATATAATACACCTAGGTCATATATCCATATTCAGTATCTAACCTGGTTATTTTCTATTACTTAAAAACTAAGGACATTTCATGTTTAATAAATTACTCATTTTTATATAATTACTCATTTTATAGTAGTTGAATATACTACTATAGTAATATATGCATAAATTTAAAATCTATCACCCTTACTTAGGAAACATAAAAAAGCCTTTCAGTATGTTTTATTATGATGCTAAGCACAGAATACGGTAAAAATTTCAAAATAAACCACATAGTAACTGATAAAGGGAATAAATTATTGAGTACAACGCTTCAAAGGTTGATCTCTAGAAAGCACATCTAGTAGGATCTGAGATCTGATAACTTATTCCTCCCCACACTTCCTTTTGTAGATAAATATATAAAAGCCAGTTTTTTTCTTCTTGGGGGGCAGGAAAAAAAACCCTTATCTAATGGAAAAATAATTAAACACTTTAAACTGGCACACATTTCTGTCACATTCTAAGTTATTATGAAATACAGTATTTTCTCTATATTGGTAAATAAAAGCATTTCATTGTTAAATTAGTAGCAGAATACTAGTTACAATGAAAACTGAATATAATGCCACATTATTTCATGTGTTACTAAAGACAGAGGTACAACCGCCTTCATGGGTTAAGACTACAATTGAAACATTTATTTTGCCAGCAAATAAATCTCTATGCATAGTTATACATGATAGCCAATATACTAACATGAAAACAAGGGCCCAATATGAAACAGTAAATGAGTATGTTTTGTTCACATAACAATTTATATATTAAAGATGTTTCCTAAAATACTATTTATTAGTGTTCCCAGTCAAAATAATTTTTTATGCTAAGCTCCTAATGTAACTCAATATTTATATTGTTAAATATTGAAATAAATGAAATGTTCCAAATCCGTCTTTTCTATATCTTTTACCTATCATTCTTTACTCCTACTGACCATCCAGAACACGTGTCACTCCTCTTTCACAGGTTTAACTCACAAAGATTAACAGTAGCTATTACATCCCTCTTGCCCGCCAACATTCACCTGAGGCCATTCTCCCCTCGGCTAAACATATCTACTTCCATAACTGTTTCCTCCTGAGTTCTGATTATCTAACCCTCTTGGTTTTCTATTCTTTTTTTTTTTTTTGGGACGGAGTTTCACTCATGTTACCCAGGCTGGAGTGCAATGGTGCGATCTCGGCTCACTGCAACCTCCGCCTCCTGGGTTCAGGCAATTCTCCTGCCTCAGCCTCCTGAGTAGCTGGGATTACAGGCACGCACCACCATGCCCAGCTAATTTTTTGTATTTTTAGTAGAGACGGGGTTTCACCATGTTGACCAGGATGGTCTCGATCTCTTGACCTCGTGATCCACCCGCCTCGGCCTCCCAAAGTGCTGGGATTACAGGCTTGAGCCACCGCACCCGGCCTGGTTTTCTATTCTTAAATAAGGCAAAATAATTCAAATTTTCTCTCAATATTAAATGTGTCTTGCTTTATTCTGCCCTGAATATCTATCCTGTACTTTGTACTATGTATCATACTTCAACCAGGATCACAGGAGGTTGCACCTGTCACTAGAAAAGTTAAAATTTTAAAGTATAAGTCAATTTTTTAGTATGGTATAAATACCTCTACCTTTGCTTCATATATCCATACACAATGAATTCTGAATTTTGAAGTATAAATGTAATAGAATTTGTACTGCAAAAATTACATAGGTTGGCAGTTTTCATGCCAAAAAGTATTAAATACCAAAGAAGAAACCAGACCTGAGAACCAAGTTGTCATCACTTTCTTATTATGTTGACAGTAGAAAAATGTCATGAGATTCTTATCCCTCAACTCCCCATTTTAGCATGATAAATTATTTCACATAATCTAAAGAATGAAAGCATGAGATCATCTAATAGCAGTTGATATGCAGACTAGAAGATTCTGGTATTATCATGGTCATATTTCTCCTCTTGTTTTTATGCACATAAAAATTATAAAATACCAGAATCATTCTAAAAATAAATCATTTATAAGATTCTCTAAGACAGAGCATTTAAAAAAATGGTTACAATTTTAGCTATGATCAGCAAAAGAAAGGACATTGTTGTCTTTTAAGTTACACACTTGAGATCTGCTGAAATTTTTAGTTTTAGCAGAGTCTCACTCTGCCACCCATGCTGGAGTATAGTGGTGAGATCTGTTTACTGCAACCTCTGCCTCCCGGCTTCAACTGATTCTCCTGCCTCAGCCTCCCAAGTAGCTGGGACTACAGGCGCATGCCACCATGCCCAGCTAATTTTTGTATTTTTAGTAGAGATAGGGTTTCACCATGTTGGTCAGGCTGGTCATGAACTCCTGACCTCAGGTGATCCATCTGCCTTGGACTCCCAGAGTGCTGGGATTATGAGCATGAGACACCATGCCTGGCACGAAAACTTTAGTTAAATAAATGTTGTACATGCTGATAAGCATGAAATGAATATCTGAATATTTATTGTCTAGGGATGGTACATAAGGAAAACAAGTCCCAAACAATCCAAGAGGGCCATGGAGGAAATCCTCTAGTTCAATGCTGTGAACCAGAAACCTTTTCAGGCCTAAGTTTTCTCATCTTTAAAGCAAAGAGAAATAATCTGTACTTCATAGAGTGTTATGAGGATGAATGAAATAATCTAGTATACGGGAAATAATCCATAAATTTAGACCCCTTTCTTGCCTCTTCCCCAACTTCTAAATTGAGGGCTGCAGGTATTAACTTTTCTTCATAGTGTTCCAGAAAACAGAGTTCTTAAAATGTCCCTAGGGTTATTTCCATGAGTTGCAGAAATAATTTCCCTTTTTGGAAATGTCTCAGTTTTCCACTGAATAGCATTCAACTGACAAAATACTGGTAGCATCCATCAGTAGGCTTTGTTTGATCAGGAACAGCCATCAACATTCTACAATTTCAATATAAAACTGTAGATAATAAATATGCTGTTAGACTTATTGTCAGTAAACACAAAGAACTGTTACGATTTCAATATTTTCCTGTTGATAAAATTCTTCCTTGAGAAATGTTAGAACCTCACATATTTTACACACAATAGCCCTATTACATTACCATCCCATAGTTTTTATAATCCATGTCATTGGACTGTATTATTGAGATGAGAAAATCATGTGTGTGATTTAAAACAAAAATAAAAACCTCTCTGGATGTTGTCCAAGAAGATGATAACAAATCTGGAGTTAAGGGAAGGCTACGAAAGTGAGACTCCTGAATGTTTCAATATTTTAGAATCATCATTATCCTGGAAAAGTTTTTTGTTCCTCAAATGG